TCGGGGTTTAGGGGTTTGGGACTTAGGGGGTTTAGGGGTTCGGGGGTTTAGGGGTTTAGGGTTTAGGGGTTTAGGGTTTAGGGGTTGGGGGTTTAGGGGTTTAGGGATATAGGGTTTGGAGTTTAGGGGTTTAGGGTTTAGGTTGCATACCTCCTTGAACCCCAATCCCTTCAAAGGATCCCATGAGACAGTGCGCAGCAAACGAAAGGGTTACAGTGCTATTGGGTACTCAGCTGGGTGAGTTAGGAGCACGTTCTGGGGTATAATGGAGTATAAACGAAATACACAAAGGAGCCCTGAGGAATATTACAGTTTCAGCGTACTGAACCCTCAGAAATACTATGAGTAGCCATTCCCAAAGAGTTCATATTATATATATATATACTGCCATTATGGAACTAAGTTCGCAGAACTTAAATGAGGATGATCTTCTTGGACCCAGTTCCACAGTGACAGATAAAGGACGAGGAACATCCTAAACACCCCAAGACGTACACCCTAAACCCCTAAACGCCCTAAACCCTACCTTAGTAACCATAGCCCTTAGCATCAAAATAGCCCACAAGCCTTTTACAATAGGGTCTTTGGGCCCAAAAGCCTTAAAATATAAGTCCTTTGAGGGTAAGGGTAGGTTTACTCTTAACCAGACCCAAAGGGTCCTATGTATATGGGAGATACTTCCCTAAATCAGAATAGTAATTGCAAATACAGACACGCTACATTCTTCTATATAGGCACATACGGTTGATGATATAAAACCTGCATTACCTTAAGGACCCTAAACTATAAGGAATTACTGTATGTTCCAAATTTTCTTATTATAGGTAATGCAGGATTTATATCATCTAAGCCCTAAACCCTAAAACCCTAAACCCTAAACACTAAAACCCTAAACCCTAGAACCCTAAACCCTAAACCCAAAAACCCTAAACCCTAAAACCCTCGTCAACCGTATAGATCCCTTCAAGGAATCCCTTAAAGGACTCAAGGGCCAGGCCACATCGACGTAGAGCCCCGGAGCCTCCCCAAAGACATTCTCAACCAGGAACCTGTCCTTCGACGGGTTTAAGGTTTAGGGTTAAAGGCTTAGGGTTTAGGGCTTAGGGTTTAGGCTTTAAAGTGTAGGGTTTAAGGTTTAGGGTTTAGGGTTTAGGGTTGATCTACTGTAGGGGCCTTGATAATTAGAATAGGGTCTTGGGCTCCTTTAAAGTACATTTATTATATAGGGAGCCCTAGGAGAAATGTTTGTAATTATTTAGGCTTCTATAGTAGGGTCCTCAAGAAAGTTAAACTTTTAGACTCCTTATTATAGTTGATATAGAATCCCCCAAAAGTTAAATCCTGTCCTAATTAGCCAACCAGAAGAACGCCAAGAAGCAGTAGGTTTTGGTAGTTCAAGGTATCCCTGTAACCCCAAACCCTACAAAATAGTAGGTTACGACCCCTTAACCCTAAACCCTAAAACCCTAAACCCCAAAACCCCTAAAACGGTGGGTTTTTGGATACCCATGCCTGCCACATGGGCACATGGACCTATAGGTGGAGGCCAGAAGGTTCAAGGTTTAGGGTGTTGGGGTTTATAGGGTTTAGGGCTTATGGGGTTTAGAGGGCTTAGGGTTTAGGGTTTTGGGGTTTAGGTTTCAGGGCGTCTTCAGTTTTCTGACCTGATTTCCAATGAGCAGATTCAGATGTCGGGGCCGTAGAACGGAACCCCAACAAAGGACTCCTTTTTGGTGTTCAAAGCTGGCACCACTGGACCACTCAGAGAGCCCAATACGCCTCAATTCAGGAATATACCTTAAATTATAGGGGGCTCAATACTACCTGTGACCCCAAACCCTACCAAATAGTAGTATTCCTTGACTAAGGGGTATTGGGCTTTCTGGGCCAGGAGTGGGGCGGGGGGAGGCGACTTGACTCCATTGATACGGGGAGGAGGCGGGAAAACAGTCGAACCAAACACCCTCGAAACAAGTAAGCCTACTACGGTTGATGAGGGTTTTGGGGTTTTAGGGTTTAGGTTTTTTTAGTAATTATTAGGGTTTAGGATTTAGGGCTTAGGGTTTAGATGATATATATCCTGCATTACCCCTTAATAAGGAATATACCAGAATTCCCCATACTTTAGGGTCCTTAAGGTAATGCAGGGTTTATATCATCAACGGTATGAAGCTTATGGAGATTGTTCTGCTAAGTTCGGTACCTGCAAAGGAGGATCGACAAAGTAACCACTACTTTAGAGTTTAAGTTCAGGGCGTAGCGGGATTAGGATTTAGGGTAGACATGCAGACCCCCCAGACAGACTTCAGGCTTTGCCAGGAACGCATGTATACAAGAGCTGCAACACAGTGTTGGCAACACTTTATCAGGGTAAGGTGGACCAGAGCTTGTACAGGTGTGCGTTCCGATTATAAGATCTAGATATTCAATTTCCGATTCCATGATCAGCCCCGTTGACAAACCCGCAGAATGACATGACATGCTGAATCGCCGAAGCCATGCTTTCTGAACTCTCCAGACCCCGAGAACACGAATGGCACAAAACCTGTACTCCGAACAAAGGTTCATGGCACAACACCTGTACTCCGAACGAAGGTTCATAAACCAAGCCCTCAGTGCCCCAACACAAAAGTTAACCCCAAACACTCCCAACCCCCCAAAAAAAATTAAACCCCAAAACATCGCAACCCTATATGCCCTATATAAACTCTAAGCCCTATAAGCCCTACAAACCCACCCCAAACCCCTGAACCCTGACCCTTCTCACCCTGTCACCTAAACCCATGCTCACAGCCGATCCTGGCCCCACTGGCCCATGAAGTGAGGCTCCTCCCCCTTCCTGAACTTCACGTCTAGGGTGCCAGGGCTTGTTGGGTTTAGGGTTTAGGGGTTTAGGGGTTTAGAGGTTAGAGTTTAGGCCCTAAGCCCCAAGCCCTAAACGCCATCGGGTGTAGCATCTAAGGGTTGGGTAGGGGAGTAAAGAGACTTTTAGGGGGGGCGGGCTGATGGCTGTTGATGGGCTTAGCTCCAAACCCAAAATCCTGAAAGCTAACATCTCCGACATAAGGGTTCCTACTATGCAGTCCTCATGAGGAGACAGCTTTATGACGCAATTGATCGACGAAGACCTTCCAAATTCAAAGGCAACAGTACTGCTGGTAATGACAAGGGGAATCACATGCCTGGAGACTTCTTGTGTTTTTTGCACAAACCTGACCCCTTGTACTGAGACAAAACCTCCTCACTCGCTTGTTGCCGCCAGATTACCGACTTCCACAAAAGCCAGAAGCCCGGGTTCTGTGTACCTCCTCAAGTCTTAGCGCTTCAGGGGCCTAAACCCTAAACCCCTAAACCCTAATCCTAGACCCTAAACCCCTAAACCCTAAAGCCCAAACTCTAAACTCCCAAATCCGGGAACCTAAACCCTCAATCCCTAAACCCTAGGCCTTATAGGGTAACTCTGAAGACTAACCGTTTTTATCGTGCCCAGCTTGCGGGTCAGAGACGGAATCTTCTCCGAGCATCCGGCAAAGGTGCTCGAGGTTGGAGTCTATGAACCTCGGATTTGGTTGAGGGTTTAGAGGGTTTAGGGTTTTAGGGTTTGAGGGTTTAGGGTTTAGGGTTTAGGGCTTTAGGGTTTACGGTTTAGGGTAAAGAGTTTAGGGTTTTAGGGTTTAGGGTTTACCTGGGAATCCAAAAACCTACCGTTTTAAGGGTTCTACCCTCTATTTAAGGGGTCATAACCTACTATTTTGTAGCGTTTGGGGTCACAGGTAGGCTTTACGGTTTAGGCTACGGTTTAGTTCATCTGTTTTCAAAGCGCGTATTCAGTCACCATGTAGTTGAACAAGGACCCTGACTGCTTCTTCTCATACAAACGTCTCTGTATACGATTATATATGGTAGTTGACTTAGATTACGTTCCTTCCTCAGGACCCACATGGGGGTTTCCGAAAATAGAGGACCCTAATATAGTACCTCAAATAGTAGGATCCTTATCATAAGGACCCCAAAACAAGATACCCTAATTTTCGGAAAGACCCACATATCCAAAGGCTCCATGTGCCTATCTCGGCTTCTCCAAAGCTGCACGGCTAAGGTTGAGGGCCTGGGGCTTCCAGGGTTTAGGGTTTACAGGGATTATGTACCCATAGGGCCCTAAGTAGTTCCTTTTTGGGATTACCTTATAGGATTCTAAATATAAACCATAAAAAGGAACTACTTAGGGGCCTATGGGTAGAGCTTAGGGGCACATCCGAAAACTTAAATCGTACACCAAGCTACACCAAACAAAACCTAACTTCAACTCTCTTCCATTGTCCCTACGTTGGCCGCTGGCCTCAGAATCCTGCTGGGTGACGAGGGCTTCAGGAGTTTGTTTCTAGCGGCTTTCGTTGCACGGAACTTCTCACCTCGGAGGCTTTCCTTGTTCAAGAGTCTTTGAGGGTCGATGGCTAAGGGTTCTCGGTTTTAGGCTTGGGGCCTCGTAGCTAGGTCTTTAGCAACCACCTACAGTCTCGATGTGTAGTTTCGTCGTAACTAGCCAGTTTTGCATCAAAGGATCCTAACAATAAAACTGCTTGAGCAAAACTTCAAAGGAAGTGCAACGGAGACTGTGTGTATGGCAGGGCTCGCTCGTGGTTTACAAGCAGCGTGCGAGAGGATGTGGCGTTGGGGGGATGGTTGGGCTGACAGCAGCTTCTTGCAAGAGTTTCGCGGAGGCCGTTTAAAGTTGAGGGGCCTTAAACAATTAGAATAGGGTTCCTTTTAAAAGACGGTTCTATCAGGGCTACTATACGCGCGCAACATTGTTAAGGAGGAGCCCTAGGGAACAGTTTTGTTGTTTGTTCTACGTGCTGGCGGAAAGTCCAATGAAAGGCATAGCTTCAAACTCAGCTTAAACCGTAAGCTTTTCCACACCCGATGCGCGCCTTTTCGCACCATAGCCTGCATCCCCTCCACAAACCGCGCTTGTGGCAGGTTGTTGCAGAGGCTTGCGCTTAAACCAGCCTGGACCAGCTGCTTCGGGGAAACACCCGACCTGGTGGCAGCACGAAGGAAAGCACGTAGCAGCGGAAAGCAACGTTTGACCAAGCAAACGCACAGCCTGGTTGCATGTGCGACACCTGGGACAGTGCTTGGTGCATACGGAATGCTTCACGATTCCTTTCCAAGAATGCATCTATCTGCTCTCCCAACGGGAGTTCGTCCTCTTCGAAACGGATGCCATGCACCACCGAAAAGCGTTGAAGGCTAAGGTTCACCTTGCAGGCTTCCACAACTGCATCCACCTCCTCCAAGCTGAGATTGACCTTACTTGTCCGGTTTCCTCGAAGAACCAAAAGTTAACGATGCTGACTTAACTATTGTACAAAAAATGCCAAAAGGGTAGAGGTCCTTGGTACAGGTTGTACTACTCTAGACCCTAGACCCTAAACCCTCAACCCTAAACCCTCAACCCTAAACCCTAGACCCTAAGCCCTAACCCGTATACCCTAGACCCTAAACCCTTCTTTTGGCAAGAAACAGAATCCACAACCTCCAGTTCCAGGGTCCTCAAAGTTGAGTTCTCGCGTAGCAGCTCCACCAGTGACTGAAGATGCTGGGGACCCGCCCAGGGGATGCAAAGATACAGCGACGAAACCGTGGAATTCCTCTGGCTTGTCAAGTTTCATAGGGCACTATAATTGGTTAACCTTCAGTGTTATGTCGGGGTTCTACTACCCCAAACAGGTTAAAGTGGTTAAAGCTTCTCTGCTAACTTACTGAGTTCACAGGCCCCAAAATGTGTAAAGCTTTCAGTTTTATAGGCAATAACACGATCCGCAAAAGTGCAAGGAGTGCCCATTTCAGCCTACCTAAAGCCCAAGCCTAAATCCTAACCCCTAAACCCTAAACCCTAAAACCCTAAACCCTAAACTCCCTGGTTCTTAGTAGGGAATGGGGCAATGGATCCCTATGATAGTCCCTTAAGGTCCCGTATAGTAGTCCCAAAACCCATTCCCCCCCGTCCCTACTAAGAACCAGTAGAACGCCAAGCGCTAAACCCCAAACCCTAACCCCTAAACTAAACCCTATAACCCTAAACCCTATAACCCTAAACCCTAAAGCGCCAAACCCTAAACCCCAAACCCTAACGCCTGAACCCTCAACGCTTATTCGCATGTCCTCTTCAGAGCTTCCACCAAAGCGAGAATGGTGGAGTCACAGTGAGGCCTCCTAGGGCAAAACTTGGTTAGGGCTTTTATGGAGTGTCAAGGCTTTAGGGCTTTTAGGTTTTAGGGTTTTAGGGGTTGCTGGGTTTTAGGGGTTTTAGGTTTTAGGGTTGTAGGGTTTTAGGGCTTTTAGGTTTTGGGGCTTTACAGGTTTTTAGGTTTTAGGGTTTGAGGTTTTAGGGGTTTAAAGCTTTTAGGCTTGAAAGGTTTTAGGGCTTTAGGGCTTTAGGGTTTTAAGTTTTAGGGTTTAGGGTTTAGGGTTTTTAAGGTTTCAAGGTTTTTAGGGTTTGGGGGTTTCAGGGATTTCGGGCTTTCAGGGTTTAGGGCTTTTATTGATAAACTTAAGGGTTTATTAGGGTTTAGTCTTTAGGGGTTTAAGGTTATAAGGTTTCCCTAATGAAGCTTTGATACTGCCGCCATACAGCAGCAGTCTAAAATAGGGCTGCTAATAAAGGCCTTATGTATGTATATTCATTATTGTGGAACTGTTACTGAGTGGCGGCAGTATCCACCTAAACCCTTTACAAACACCCTTATAGACTATTCAAGGAACTCTAACCGGGACCCTAATTTACACAACTAACCCCAAACCATACGCAATCCCCTGTGCCCTGAACCCTAGCCACACCACCGGAAGGATCCAAAAGATAGACCTCATAAGGAGGTTGCTTGAAAGTACCCTGTAGTAGTAGAGGGTCCCAACTTAGTGGGTCTACCTTTTTAGATCCTTCCGGCGGCCTGGGTAGCTTGCTTCCCCAATAGGCCAGGGAAATGGAAGGTTAAACTTTCAGATTGCTACTAAACTTTATAAACCCTAAACCCTAAAAGTTTATAAGGGGTTGGGTATTAGAGAACTAAGGCAAAAAAAACAAAAAAAAACTAAACCCTAAACCCTAAAAAATAACAACAAAGCCGGCAAACAAAAAAAAAAAAGAAAAAAGCCTTGGCTGGAGGAGTCCCAGCTGGATTCCAAGTGCCTCAGGGGCTTCGGCTTTAGGGCTCAGGGTCTCTGGGGTTTAGGGTGTCGGGTGTCGGGTTTAGGGTTTAGGTTTTCGGGTTTCGGTTTTAGGGTTTCGGGTTTAAGGTTTAGGGTTTCGGGTTTAGGGTTTAGGGTTTTCGGGTTTCGGTTTTAGGGTTTCGGTTTTAGGGTTTTCGGGTTTAGGGTTTAGGGTTTAGGGTTTCGGGTTTAGGGTTTAGGGTTTCGGGTTTCGGGTTTCGGGTTTAGGGTTTCGGGTTTAGGCGGAGTTCATAATGTCACAGGCAGAAACCTTTACATATCTTCTTCTGTTGTTCCGAAAGGGTTTGTATACAACCGAACAGATTAACAATCACAAACTCGACTACTGCGGAAAGTTGCCGTCAGCAATGCAGTGGAGGGATCATCATCGGAAAGCCGTGGACCACCCTCCCTGCAGGTAAGCTCAGCCTTACAATTCTTCCAGCTGTCCGGGGTTGTCGCTCTCTTTTCCTCTACCTCTTCCGATTCAAGATATAGGTCTGGATCTACATTCAGCGGAGAGCCCGGCGGAGAGCCAGAAGAACCTTCCGAAACTTGTATCTCGATGGTTTGTTGCAAACCACCAGCTTCGGGAGAACTTGCCTGGACAAGTACTTTCAGTTCCGCGCAGCTTCGGACACCCAGAACTGCACTCAGGGTACTCTCGCGAAGCCCAGTAACCAAATCCTGTAGCCGCACATGGACACTCGTCTGCTGCCCCATGGCAACTCGAGGCTTCGAAGGATTTCCTATGCATTCATGCGTCCATGAAGTATACAAATGCATTGGCCCTACCCAGAGGCCCCTGAGTAGTTCCTGTATATGGTTTACATTTAGAATCCTATAAGGTAATCCAAAAAAGGAGCTACTTAGGGGCCTATGGGTAGAGTTACTAAATAGCAACCCTGTTAAGGCCAGGGCTTCCACTATATCATACTTTGTCTTTTCATGGACCCGTACGGCATCATGCTACCTCAAGCTCTGCAGCAGGTTACAGGAAGCTGCGTAGCTTGTCACGGCTCCAAAGTCCTGATGCAAGGTCGGTTTAGGACAGTTGAGGCATGCATTCGACAAAATCCTGCATGGCTGCGCAGGGCGTAGGTCAATGACAGTTGTAGCGCACCTGTGTAGCTGTCGTGCACTCCGGGTATAAGGGTCCCCGACCCAAGATGTCTTGGCCCTAACTCTAAGGGCCCATGTGCCCAAATAGTATATACTTTGGCCTATATAGGTACTTTGGAGCCAAAGTAGATACTAGGTTGGTAAATGGGACCGTTGGGGTAAGGTGCCTACGCAGAAACCCTGCAGGCTAAAGCACCAAATATACGGTTTAGGGTTTAGGGTTTAGGGTTCGGTTGAGGGTTGATCCTGCTACCTATGCGATAAGAGTCTACCGGTTGAAACCTTGATGTGCTTGTGGGGTGCAAACCCTAAACCCCAAAAGCCCTAAACCCCAAGCACAAAACCCTGAACCCGTTGGCTTCTGCGTTACCTTTTTTGGCTCCTCTGGGAGCCAAAAACAAGATGCCGACCCATGGGCTCCTTAGTAGTTCCTTTTTGGGATTACCTTATTGGATTCTAAATATAAGCTACAAAAGGATCTGCTGAGGGGCCTATGGGTATGCCTAACCGACAAAACATGAAGGGTTTAGGGTTCACGGCTAAGGACTCGGAGGTTCCTGAGACTTAGTCGTAAGTAAGGCTCTCAGGGCTTTTTCGTTTCTGTAAAGGTGAAATGAAATAGGGTCCTGTAGGGCTTTAGGGTTTAGGGGACGTAGTACAAGTACAGTTTTAAGTACCTTAGCTGGGGTATTAATTCATTATACATATAAGCGTAGCTCTATTAAATTTTTTATAAACCTGAAGTTCATATGTATACATAGAATCCCACGTCCTTCCTGAACCTTAAACCCTAAACTAAACCCTACACTGCCCTAATCGCGAAGCCTTATAGGTCAAATGACCTCCTGCGTGGCTGCTGCTGTCGAAAGCAGCGGCAGCAGCGGCTCGTCTGTACAAGCTTCTTGTCCTAGCCTGGACGATTTACGGTTTAGGGTGCAGTACCCTGCTAAACTCTCTAAACCCCACCATAAATCCCTAAACCCTAAACCCCAAACTCCTAAAACCCTAAACCCCTGAGCCTTAATACAACCCTAAACCCCTAAAGATTCCCGAAATTTCTGACCTAGAAGGCCCAGGGGGTCCAGGTACCCGTGTAGAAACGCCTTACAATGAGGCCAGGGTTTACGGTTTAATGAGGCCAGAGAAGTCTACGCCAGTGCCTTGAGAAACTGATGGGGTAGTTCTGTAAATTAGGGTCCCTTTTTTTTTAGGGTTCTTTTAAAGGGATCTATAAGGGTTTCTATAGGGTTGCTAAAAGGGTACCATATGGGTAGCTCTCTAAAGTAGGGTCCCTTATGGGGTCCTTTCTTATAAGGGTGCCGTACTATATTGGGGACCTAAAAAGGGGACCCTAATTTAGAAAACTACCCAAATACTGCTATATAGAAACCCTAAATCCCTCCCCTAATCCCTGGCCAGGGGCGTGTCCGAGTGCCCATGGCACATGCAGATATGTTCTCCACAGCCGGCTTCGATCTCGATTGCACGGTTTAGGGTTTAGGGTTTGGGGTGTAGGGTTTAGGGTTAAGGGCGTAGAGTAGACCCTGTAATTAGAGCCATTGCAAGAAGCTGAAGCAATCTAGAACAAGATGTGAAGCAGACGCAACGGGACATTTCACAAAAGACTTGAACAACCAAATCACATCTGACACGCGCATAGGAAATAGTTTGATGAGTCATGCTATGACTGTAGCGGCATTTCATGGTAAGACCAAAGAACCTACTACACATGTAAATGGGCGCTTTTCTCCCTACTAGTAGTGGTACCCTGAAGAGGAGCTCTCAAAAAAGCCAATAAAGGAGCTCTGAACGGAACCCGACAGACCGTCCAAAATCCCTTAAGAAAGGAAAATACCTTAAAAATGTAGTGGAGCCCCTAACATGATTGAAGCATGTGCCCTAAAGCCTAATATGATTCAAAAATACATACCTTGAATGAACCCGAGACCCTCACATGATTTAAGGTATTCATACACCCTGAACCCTGAACCTCAATATGGTTTAAGGTTGCTACCCTGAACCCTAAACTATGGGAATTATGGTATTTTCCTTATTATGGGCAATGCAGGATTTAGATCCTCTGCACCCTAAACTCTAAATCCTAAACCCTAAACCCTAATCCCTAAACCCGAACAAGGACTCTCCCAGCACAGATCGGGATCTGCAAGAAGCGCGAAGATGCCAACAGCATGCATGGTTCTATAATAGGGTCCCCTTAACGGACACCCTATTGCAGAACCCTACAGAACCCCCTATAAATCTTTTGAAGGATCCGTAAGGGTTTAGGATTCTCTTGTGATGTTCAGGATGGCGAAAACACTGATTACAGCTTGTTTCCAGGGCGGCTAACAAGATGACCAAAGGCGTGACCGAGTAACCGAATAGCATTCCCAAGTCGTATATCTTAGTCTCCGAGGTTATTTGAACAGCTAAACGAGGCGTGACCATCTTGTAGAACTTAGTCTACCCTAAACCCTAAACCCTTGACCCAAAACCCTTATTCCTAAACCCAAAACCCTACACTCTAAACCCTAAACCCTCAACAGCTGTGGGAGGTTCAAGGAGCCGAGGCTCGAGGTCCCTAGACAGACTGCGACATCGTGGCGTCGTATTCACAGTGAACTTTTGCTTTGGGCTTTCGGCTTGATATAGAGTTCAGGGTTTAGGGTTTAATGTAGGCGCCTTAAACCTTACTTCGGGTGTGGGCTTTAGGCTTAATGTATGGCTTGGGTTTTAGGTTTTAGGTTTTAGGTTTTAGGGTTTAGGGTTTAATTCATGTAGGCGCCTTAATGCTTAGAAAAGGGATTGAGGGTGATTGCAGACAGACATCTGAGAATAGGGTTCGAGGGTAGCTTATACTAAAATGATGATAAGAAGCCCCCCCCCACACAGTATTGGTAAGTATTTAGGCCCCCATATTAGGCTACTACTAGCCCATCGAAAACAACTCTAATTCAAGACGGAGGCACTGTCGGAAAATACAAATCCTGGCCGTTGACTCGCCAGAAGTTGTTCTCGTCCACTTTCCCGCAAAGAGTCGCCTGGCGAAACGAAATCGGTGGCTTAACCCCTAAACCCTACACCTTAGACCCCATAAACCCTAAACCCAACACCTTAAGCCCTAAACCCTATAAACCCTAAAACCTAAACCCTCAACCTCAAACCCAAGACCTTAAACCTTAAGCCCTAAACCCCAAACCCCAAACCCTAAACCCTTAAACCCTAAACCTTAAACCTTAAGCCCTAAACCCTAAACCCCAAAACCTAAACCCTGAACCTCAAGCCCTAAACCCTAAACCTTAAGCCCTGAACCCCGAACCCGAACCCCAAACCCTAAACTCTAAACCCTAAACCCTTAAACCCTACACCTTAAACCTTAAGCCCTGAACTCCAAACCCTAACCGGCAGCTCATATCGGCCGTCAGACGGTCTTCGGGCAGAACCCCTAGCCTCGAACCCGGGGGCTTCCAAAATGCACGTTTCTGGGCTGAACCGTTGAGGCTTCGGGTGTAAGGTTTAGGGTTTAAGGTTTAGGGTTTTGGGTTTGGGGTTTTAGGGGTTTAAGGTTTAGGGTTTTGGGCTTAGGGTTTAAGGTTGAGGCTTTAGGGTTTAGGGCTTGGGGTTTACTGTTTAAGGTTTAGGGTTTAAGGCTTATAAGGATTAGGGTTTAGGGTCTAGGGTCTAGGGTGAACCAAAGTCTGCGTTCAGTCTGGCCAGTCCTCAACCTCACACCCGAACCTTGTTCTCGGGGTGCCTACTTGAAGGTTCATGGGACTTAGTAAGTACAGTTATAACTACCTTAATTGGGGTTATAAGTAGTTATAACTATAGTTACCTTATTTATAACCCTAGTTGCTAAGTCCCATGAACCTCCAAGTAGCTTTGTGGATGGTGAGGGTAGGACCTCGTCGGGCTAGGAATGAAGAAATCCTACCCACTCCAAAACTTCATTAAGGAATACGCCTTTAATCGTAATTCGGATCCCCCTATATGTTAAGGTGCACTCCAATTAGGGAAGCCCTTAAAGGACTTCCCCCCAAAGATGCCTTGAAGGAGCCCTTAATTAAAGGATCCCCTATAGGTTTAGGGTTTTGGGGCTAGGGTTCAGCGAAGGACTCTGTTGCAGAAGAGCTCTAAATCAGGAGGATGCTGTTAAAGTCTATTAAAGCTGAACCGCGCATGTATCTCCCGATACTCATACAACTGTGCAGACCCAGCCTGAGAGACCAGAAAATATGGGACATGATGCAGGGGTCGGCATATTGAGTTATCGTCGCTAGACTTTCAGCTATACGCGACGTGATCCGGAAATCTAGTCAACTCGTTGAAGCCCCCTACAGCAGGGAGCAAGAAGAGCAACCACCTGTAAGCCCAAACAATCCTAAAGCGCCCATAGCAAATAAGGTCACCAAACTGACACTATGTGTCCAAATAGCATACACTTGGGCACCAAAGTACCTATAAAGGGACTCGATTCAGGCCAAAGTATATGCTATTTGGGTACATGGACCCTCAAACCCAAAACCCTTATAGTCTCATGGTATACCCCTATATAGAATCCCTTAAAGGAATCCTGTTGGGTAGATGTATTCACTGGCGGC